CCCCCCCCCCCCCCCCTCTGCCCCCAATTAAAAGACTGTTCTCGTGTGTTTCCATTAGACAGTGAAACGTGTTTTAAAAAGGTGTTATTGTCTTCTGACCAGGGGCTTTTGGGGTTTGCACTGGTTGGGTTTAGGGGGGTTGTCCCGGCTGGTGCTCCGGTGTTATCCCTGCGAGGTTGGTGAGGGGCTGGAATGGAATTCCCAGAGAAGCTGTGGCTGCCCCATCCCTGCGACTGCCCTAGGAAAGGCTGGACGGGGCTTGGAGCAACCTGGGATAGTGGGGGGTGTCCAAAGGAATTGGGGCCGGGAGGGGGACAGCGGGAACTGTGTCTCCAGAGTGAGAGAATCCAGGGAATCCCGCGGGAAGGGACGCAGGGATGGGGAAATCCCGGCCTGGGGCGACCTGTAGCTGAGAATACTTTCGCCCGCGCGATCATTTTTAATCCCTGTTCAGCCCAAAGAAGGGCATTTTCTCCCTTCGATACACGGGGGAAAGAGCTCTTTGGGTTTATTACCGTTAATTATCCCTTTATTTCCCTGTCTCCCATGGTACAGTCCCCCCGTCGTCCCCCCCCATTCCGCCGCCCGCGATGGTACAGCCCGCTGGCGCGCGCCGATTACGTAAACGCCCGGCGCCCGCGCGTCGGCCGCGCCACCCGGAAGCGCTTTGGCGGCAGAGGCGGTGTCTCGTGCGGCCGGTTTTGTTCGCGGCCGGACCCGCCGCGGGGGCTCACGCGCGCCTCCCGCGGGGGATCTCCCCCCGCGCCGCCACCCGAGCGGCCCCATGGCCTTCAACTTCGGCGCGACGGCGGGAGCCGGGGCCGCCAACCCGAGCGGTGAGCGCAGGGGGAGCGGGGCGGGGCGGGGTCGGGAGGGGCGGGGGGAGCCGGGCGGCGGGCAGCGCGCGCCCCCCCTCCGGCCAATGGGAACCGCGGCGCGTGCCCCTCGGCCAATGAGATCCTCGGCCCGCTCAGCGGCCCGCGCGTGCCCCCCCGCCAATAAGGAACGGCCACCGGCAGCACGTGCGCCCCCGGCTTTGAGAACCGCACGTGCCCCGCACGCGATAGGGACCGTGGTGACGGCCCGCGCGCGCCCCCCCGCCAATGGGAACCGCAGCCGCCTCAGAGCCCACGCGCGCCCCCCTTCCAATGGGAACCGCGGTGGCGGACCGCGCGTGC